ATAAGCGTGGGCAATATATTTTTGACATCCCTACTGTGGCAAATGACATGGGGATTACAGCAGTTACATTAACAAATCAGTTGTACGACCTGAAGGTTTGGATTAGTGAATATAATTTTTTTCTTGAGTTCTAGTGTGCGCGCTTAACAAATATGTTTAAATAGTTACTATATTGTAGATTTATAATGTTTTATCCACAAACACGTATGGCATCTAAAAACCTCTGCTAGTTTTCCTCGTTTTGAAAATCTTTCACATAATACATCATAAGTTTATTAATTAATGTACTGAAGCTATATATTTTGTTATGATCTGGAGATATCGTTGTATGTGCTAGGCATAGCCATGTACTGCACTTTTTTCATTGAGAGTTTAGTCTTGCCCCATCATTGTTTTCAAAATAAAATGTTTATAATTTGATTCATATAGGCACCTAATCCATTTGGCGTAGTAGCTCTACCCTAGTATTGAAAGCAATGTAAATACAATCTGACCTCATTATTTGTGAAATATTCTCAGTTGATGGGAGAAATAACTTATGAAATGAAGGACATGGCCTACTGTTATAGGATCATTGAAGTCCCTACAGACTTGTTATCACTATCTGAAGATATTACCCAATGGTTATCAGAAGTTGAAAATTGTAAGGTGAATAAATTCTGACAAACTTGTACATTTACTCATTTTTGTATTTTTTTAAGGTATGTTCATCTGGGATGTTGTATCCTCTGCTCAAATGGTTTTCCTTTTTTATTTTCAAGTATTGGTATGCTATGTCATTATAATTGATTGGATAATTCGTTTATTGCATTTTCTTCATGTTTGTGTGGTCAATTAAGTTATCATTGATAGATTTAATTTCCCATGGTTCTTTCTTTGAGTAGGTACAAAAAATGGATGCAATGTTTAGTGCTGTATATTTTGCATTAAATCTATGTGATAAGATGCAAGGTTGCAGTGGGCCCAATCACACACCATGCTTGCAAAGGAAAATATTGGAGTATTTTTCTGGAGTTGAAAATGCTGATTTCTGCAAGAAAATTGATGGCCAAAGCAGGTTCTTTCTAATTTCCGAGCTAGGTTCTGTACTAGAGAACAAAATTAACTTATGAAATGACTTTAAGCATCGAGAACTTAAATTCTATTGGATATTGAAACGTCAGAAATAAAGTTCTCTGGCAAGTAGCAACATACTATGTTGATTATGCTATATGCTACATTATCTTGAACTAAAATAGTGGTATTTACATGTGCAGTCCTTTCCTGCGAGCGGATATAAAGGTAAGTTGTCACATGAACATTCTCATCTAAATAATTCACGTATTGAAGAATTCTTCTTAAAATTACTTGTTTCTTTGATTATCGACAGGTCTTTCTACAGAGCAATTCACAGGCCCGATTTACACCAAGAGCTGTTGCGAGAATAATGCATGGAATTGCAAGCCCGGCCTATCCTTCAACAACATGGAGTAAAACTCACTTCTGGTACATAGAAATTCTATTTTTTTTATTTTATGACCTTAATACTGTTTGTGCATATTGTTGAGTTAGAACATTGCACTGCACGCTTGCGTCAGTATCAATAGACAAACTCATGATTTGTGGTTCCAAAACTTGTAGTCTTTGTTTGAGAAACAAAGGGAGAAGGAAAATCTAGTGATCTGTAACCGTTCTTTCCATATTTTCCAAACAAAAGCTAAATATTATAATTTGATTTTTTTTTATGGTTTGCTGATTTTATATCATTGATTAGAACATTGTGGTAAAACTGAACTTTTAATTATGGATTTCAGGGGAAGGTATACTCGAATAGACTTTAAGGTAGTGATGGAAGCAGCAAAGGAAGAACTTAAACATTTGGTCGGAAAATGTACGCTCTAACTATTTTTGACGGATTGATAATACCATCTGACAAATTTGGATAGGGGGAGCAGAATCCGTGCAAGACCTGCATTGATTCAAGGACCAGGAATAGAGCTGAATTTTGTTCCCTGTCAAGTCGTTGGAATTAAATTAAAGAGTTGTGTGGCATGTTGCTATTGTCGTAAATGGGGCGCCAGCGCACATCTGTCATCTCAAGTTGAGACAAGCTAAAGGAAAAATGAAGCTATGCCCCGTTTGTGCCTAACGATTTGCACTTGCCAATTGTTCTTTGGGAATTGGGATAGCATGCGACCTGTGGTTGGAGGAATCAAGAATTTACAATCCTTTGCTGTCTGATATTTGTTGTTATCACCTTGTCCTACAGAGCGATCCCTAGGATCTTATAAGGGAAAAGGTTAACTAGCTCCACCTAGAGGTTTCCCCCTATCTTAAATAGATCTGTGTCAATAATGTTATTATTTGCTTACCTTTAAATATCAACAGCAATTTATAATTATTTGTTCGCACGTACACACGTGTGTCTATATATATATATATATATATACTAATTCAGGTTAGAACAAAAAAAATGAAAATTTGTTTACCTTTGTTATGTATATCAAGTGATATTCGAATTGTTTATTTTACTCTGTTGAAGTATGTATGAAGGAATTCACGTTATTTTCCAGTTTTTAATTAGTTACCATGTAACAGATGGTTCAAATTGTTATAAAAAAATTAAACTCTCGGATGATCCTCTTATTTACATGAAAATCTCAACTGGGTCTTTATATTTGCAACTGTCTCAATTGGGTCATAAATAATAGCGGATGACGTGTTGCACGTTGATGTCAAAGTATTTGATTACGTAGAATTTTTATTTAATTTAAGACGTTATGACATGGGGTTTTACTTATCTTCAAATTATAGGGTCCATCATGACCGCCACCCGCCGCTGGTCACCATTTTCACCATCTCTTCAATCACAGTTTGCAATCAATCCTTGCATCATCCAAACACAACAACTGACCATCCAATATCATATCCCTAACCTGTAGAGAAGCTTACATGAACAATCCCAAAAATCCCTAATCGAAACTGAGAGCCTTGATACGTCGGAGGACAAAAACCCTCATTGCCGTAGAGACATTACTGTTGAGATGCAAACCATTTCACCTTCTAACACAATCAATTTTTCTTCAAAGACCCACAGAAAAAAAACTACCTGAAGAAGTTGATGAATTAATTAATCTTAAATACCACTTATTTCTCTCTCCAACCTCAATCCCTTCCCCTGCGTCACTTTTTCTTCAAAGCCTTTATCTCTGCCTCAACCCCCTTTCTTTTCTATTGTTTCCTTTATTTCGCTATTTTGTGGTAAGTTTTTTTCTTTTTTTTTGGTTTTGTTCTTGTGGGTTTTCGGATTTCAGTTGCCTTTATGTTCAATATGATCAATTTGATCCACTTCTTTCATCTTCTACCTTGCTCTCTTTTATTATTTTTTTTCCTTTTTCATTATTTTTCTTCTTCGGGGTTCCTGAATTAGATTAAATGTATTTTTTTTTTGTGTCATTCAATATGTGGATCGATTATTCACTGTCTTCGTGTTTTTCAGTTTGTGTAACAGACAAGTAAACATGAAACATGAGATGGTACTGGTGTAGCTTTGAAGGAGCTATGAGTATGAAATCGGAGTGCTAAAATGGATTTTTTGTAATACTTAACCCTGTTTGTTGAAGGCAAGTTATATGTGGAAACGTTTTGTTTTGAGGGGTTTGTTTTATCTGTAAGTTAAATGGTGTTACTGTGGACGACCCGGGTTATGCCGGGTTCATCGTTGGATTTTCGTTATTCCTAACGATTATAGTTTGCTGATGCCACTTTTGAAGAGCACAATATCACATATTTTTAAGTGACTGGTAGTCCTAACGACGTTGCTGGCGAGAGGGGAAAAGTTTTGAATATTTGGTGTTTTGTTCTGGGCACGTTTGTCATGGCCCCGACGGCGGCGTTTTTTAGTTTGAGAGGGAGAAAGGGTGTGTGTGTCTGGGGAGTGAGGGTTTGAGGGTGGGAGTGGGAAAGAAGCAGCTTGGACGGAGGAGCGGAAGAGGTGAAAGGTGATAAGTGGTTTGAGGAAAGAAGAAGCACCGTTGTCACGTGGATTTGATTAATTTAATGCACAATGCCATGCCATCAAAACAAAAAATACAGCTTAGCTCAATTTAACGCCGTTTGGAACAACTTAACGGTTATGATAAAATTGGCTCAATTTTACAAATATTTGGACCCAATTGAGATATTTTGCAAATAAATATATAGACCCAGTTGAGGCAGTTGCAAATATGAAGACCTACTTGAAATTCTCATATAAATAAGAAGAGCATCCGAATGTTTAAACCTTATAAATAAACAGAAATAATATATAAGGAGGCAGCGGAAATTAGTTTTAATATAAGCGAAGCCTTTGTCATTATAAAATTTTATATAAATGAGACCCTCATGTATTGTTTATGAACGAATTCAGTTCATATTTACAATATATTATTATTATTGTTATTACCGAGGACAGACAACCGACCGCAGAGAGTGTTCTACCGAGGGTAGCTAGCCGATCGCAGGGTTTGTTACTACCGAGGGTAGCCAGAAGAGTGTCATGTGCCGATATCGAAGGTTGATAACCGGTCGGATGTGCTATAACACAGCCGATCGGGCAGACGCAAGGCGAATAGACTGCAGACATCTGTTAAATGCTCATGAATGCATGGTTAATGAGTTAACGGTCATCTTCGAGGGGTTAAAGTGAGCATTGAAAGCCATTAAAAGGTAAATTAATGAGTAATATTCCCTGATATTGTATAAATAGAGGTCAAAGGGGAAGGTAAAGGTTGGATTCATTTTAGATATAGATAGGCTTGCGATAGCATATTCTGACTTGATCGTCTGAGTGTTTGCTGCAGGTCAACCCATTCATACTGATACCAAGCGCAGAGGAGGCGAGAGGAGGAAGACTGATCGGAGGAAGAGGAGTGTTTCCGGACGGAGGTAGCGGGAGTTTCCCCCGGTCCTATTCAGCAGAAACATTTTGGCGCCCACCGTGGGGCCGAGGGAAGTAAGAGATAACATTTACAACCATAAGGATGGATCAAGACCCAGCAGCGTTCATACAGGAGATGAGGAGAAGAATGGAGGCTATGCAGGCGGAGATGGAGACCCTGAGAGCTGAGCGTGATGCAGCCCGAGGGGCGCAAACTAATCGACTAGCTTCGGCGCGAGCCCAATCACCAGTGGTGGAGATGCCTGAAACTGAGTCAGATTCAGAGGATGACACAGGACCTAGGCCGGAGAGTGATGGTATGGGGGAAGAGCATAGTGAGGCTGGTTCGCATCGGGCTGCTAACCGTCCGGCTCCAACTGGTCGGGTTAGAGCACTGCATCCGTTTACGGCTGCGATTATGGAGGAGCAGATCCCGGACCGAACGTTCCCAGCCTTGGAAAAATATGACGGCTCGGGTGATCCGGAGGAGCATTTGAGGTCCTTTGTGGACGCAATGACTATATATTCACCTAGGGAGAATGTGTGGTGCAGGGTATTTTCTTTATCAATAAAAGGAGAAGCCTTAGCTTGGTTCCACTCATTGAAACCACGAACCATCAATAGTTTCGTAACATTGAGGGACATGTTCGAACGGCAGTTTTCGGCGGGACGAGCGCGGAATCTGACGTATCTGGAATTAACAAATATAAAGCAGGAAAAGGGAGAAAGTCTTAGGGTTTTCATGGACAGGTTCAACCGAACCTCGCGGCAAGTAAGGGGGGTGGGCAAGAAGTTCACCATCAGTACTTTGGCGACCGCGTTGAGACCCTCCCCGTTTGCTGATAACCTGTTCGCTGAGCCCCCATTAACCCTGGACGAGTTACAAGAAATGGCCGCTCGTTTCATTAGAATTGAAGAGATGAGGGCGGTCCAGCGAAGGCAACAGGAGCAGGGGACGAGCGCGGGACAAGAGAAGAAGGACGTCAAGAAACCGTTCGTCCCAAACGAACGGCCAAAGGGCCAGAAGTTTAGAGATGGCCCCAGGGGAGGAAGGTACGACCAATACACCCCATTGAACGCACCAAGGACGAGGGTACTGGAAGAAGCTCTGAGTTCGGATCTTTTGAGGGTGAGACCGTCTAAGTCATCACCGAAGGCAGACGGAACTAAACACTGTACTTATCACTTGAACATTGGGCACAATACCGAGGAGTGCACGGTGTTGAAGGATAAGGTGGAGGAATTGATCCGAGCGGGTCATTTACGAAGGTTTGTGAAGGAAGAGAGGAAGACAAGGAGCCCGCCCAGGAGGGCGAGGGTGGAAAGAGGCGATAGAAGAGAAGACCGACGGCCCGAACGCAGGAGGAGTAAAAGCCGCAGCCATGACCGATCGCTGCGAGGGACCATAAACACTATCTCAGGTGGGTTTGCGGGAGGATCGTCGGCGTTTGCAAGGAAGAGGAACTTAAGGGAGCTTAAGAGCGTACACAGGGTAGATGTGAGGAAGCGGCACATGCCGCCAATCACGTTTACGGATGAAGATTTCCATGCTCCTGATCCGGATGAGGATGATCCGATGGTGATAACGGCAGTTATTGCTAGTTATAGCGTGGGAAAGGTGTTGGTAGATCAAGGTAGTTCGGTCAATATCTTGTACTGGAAAACCTTCCAACAGATGGACATATCCGAGGACCTGATCGCCCCATATAACGAGCAGATAGTGGGATTCTCGGGGGAGCGCGTAGACACCAGGGGGTATGTGGACCTTAGAGCATGCTTGGGAACCGAACGGAGCAAGGAAGTGAAAACAAGGTTCTTGCTGGTGGATGTTAACACTTCTTACAATGTGTTATTAGGACGACCATGTCTCAACGCATTTGGGGCAATTGTCTCTACGCCTCACCTTACATTGAAATTTCCATTGGACAATGGAAACATATGTGCCGTCCGATCGGATCAGAGGATCGCGCGAGAATGCTATATGGCGGGATTGAAGGTTCAACCTTTATCGTCGGGTTCGTACAGTCGGAGTAGGAGAAGACGATCGGAGGTAGCCATGGCAGACTTAGACCCAAGGACAAATACTGACGATCGTATGGAGCCGATGGGAGAGACACAGTCCTTCTGCTTAGGGCCGAAGGAAGAACAAAATACAACCATCGGGAGTGAATTGGAGGAGGACCAGGCCAATCTAATTGGCACTCTGTTGAAAGACAACAAGGATTTGTTCGCCTGGACGGCAGCTGATATGCCAGGGATACATCGGAGGGTAATGTCGCATAAGCTGGCATTATTCAGGGAAGCCCGACCGGTCGCTCAGAAGAAGAGAAGAATGGGGGAGGAAAAACGGTCGGCAATAGCAGTTGAGGTGAAGAAGCTGTTGGAGGCTAATTTCATTCGGGAAATCAAGTACACAACGTGGTTGGCGAACGTTGTGATGGTGAAGAAGATGAATGGAAAGTGGAGGATGTGTACCGACTTCACCGACCTGAATAAAGCTTGTCCCAAGGACTCTTATCCATTACCAAGTATCGATGCGTTGGTGGATGGTGCGTCCGGATTTCAAGTATTAAGTTTCCTGGATGCCTATTCAGGGTATAACCAAATCCCCATGTTCCCACCGGACAGCGACAAAACGACATTCATCACCGAGCGGGCAAACTATTGCTATGATGTTATGCCGTTCGGGTTGAAGAATGCAGGGGCCACTTACCAACGCCTGATGGATAGGATATTCGCTGAACAGATTGGTAGATGTATGGAGGTATATGTGGACGACATGGTGGTGAGAAGCCGTTCGGTAGAAGATCATGTGCGAGATCTGGCAGAGGTTTTCCAACAAGTGCGTAAGTATGACATGCGCCTCAATCCGGATAAATGTACGTTCGGGGTACCGGCGGGAAAGTTTCTGGGATTCCTGCTAACAACTAGAGGCATTGAGGTGAACCCAGATAAATGCCGAACGGTTTTGGAAATGAGGAGTCCGAGCAAGCTGAAGGAGATTCAGAGGTTGGTGGGAAGACTCACCTCCTTATCTAGATTTATCCCCAAGTTGGCAGAGCGAATAAAACCGATTGTAAAAATTATGAAGAAGAGTTCAGGTAAGGATTGGGACGACCAGTGCGAGCAAGCCTTTAACGAGGTAAAACGCATATTGGTCAGCCCACCGGTCATGGGGCGACCCGATGAAGGACACCCGTTACAGCTATTCTTGGCGGTTTCAGAGGACACGGTCAGCTCGGCATTAGTGCAGGAGCAACCTGAATTTAAACTTGTGTACTTTTTCAGTCGAACATTGCAGCCGACGGAGACTAGGTACAAAAGGGTGGAAAAGATTGCTTTGGCTTTGGTGGTGGCAGCAAGACGTTTGAGGCCGTACTTTCAGAGCCATCAAGTGATAGTACGAACGGATCACCCGATCGCAAGAATCTTGCGCAAACCTGACTTGGCGGGGAGAATAGTAGGTTGGTCTGTGGAATTGTCAGAGTTCAGACTGCAATTTGAACCGAGGGGATCAGTCCGAGGGCAGCACCTGGCTGATTTTGCGGCTGAGTTACAAGAGGAAGAAGGACCTTACGAATGGGTCCTTTATGTGGATGGCTCTTCGGAGAAATCCGGAGGAGGAGCAGGTATTGTTTTGGAAGGACCGAATGGCTTTATTGTCGAACAGGCAATTGTCTTTCGGTTCAAGATAAGCAATAATCAAGCCGAGTACGAAGCAGTATTGGCCGGGCTAGAATTGGCCAAAGATTTGGGAGCGGTCTTGGTCAAATGCCGAACGGATTCCCAATTGGTGGTAGGCCAATTGACCGAGAGTTTCCAGACCAAAGACGATCAGCTGCTTCGGTATTTTCACAAAGTAAAAGAGTTGGTAAAGCAGTTCCGGGCGGTGGAGTTCAAACATGTGCCTAGGGAGCAAAATGCGAGGGCGGACATCTTGTCTAAGCTCGCCAACAGCAAAGGAAAAGATCACTTGTCTTCGGTCATAAGGCAAGTTATGATGAACCCATCGGTAGAGAGCTTGGCCGTTCATGAGATAACTGCTCAGCCTGACTGGAGGAAAGAAATAAGGGAGATTATTCAGAGGCAGGAGAACGGACTGCATGTTCGGGTACAGGAAGCAAAGAAGGCCGCTCGTTATCTGATAATAGGAGAAGACCTTTATAAAAGGGGATTTTCTTGCCCTTTGTTGAAATGCGTAATCTCGGAGGAAGCCGAGTATGTGATGAGGGAGTTGCATCTTGGAGCGTGCGGCATGCATACAGGCCAACGAGCGTTGCGGGCCAGGGTGATACGAGCGGGATATTTTTGGCCGACGGTGGAGAAGGACTGCAAAGCGTTCGTGCAGAAATGTTTGAAGTGTCAAGAACATGGCCGAAACTTCAATCGGCCACCGGAAGAGCTACATAGCTTGATGTCGCCATGGCCGTTCGCGCAATGGGGAATGGATATTATCGGACCCTTTCCGGTGGGAAGGGCACAGAAGAAATTCCTGCTAGTAGCCATTGATTACTTCACTAAGTGGGTGGACGCAGAGCCGCTCGCGACTATTACTGCCGCGCAAGTTCAGAAGTTCGTGTGGACGCTCAAATGTAGATACGGGATTCCTAAAGTAATAGTCACTGATAACGGGCGGCAATTTATCGACAAGCGTTTGGGAGAATTTTACGAACGTTTGGGAATAAAACATGTGACGAGCTCGGTAGAACATCCTCAAACGAACGGTCAAGTAGAAGCAGCCAACAAGGTCATAGTGGGCGAATTAAAGAAAAGATTGGGGGAAGCCAAGGGCCTTTGGGTAGACGAGTTGCAGGAGGTCTTATGGGGATACCGTTGCACGCCGCACGGAACCACGGGTGAAACCCCCTTCAGCCTAACATATGGAGTGGATGCTATGCTGTCGGTCGAAGTAGGGGAACCTTCATTACGAAGGAAGATAAGACTGCAGGATAACAATGAGGAGATGCGTGTAGAGTTAGATACTCTAGAGGAACGAAGAGAAGTGGCCATGATCCGAGCGGAGGCTACCAAGCGACTTGTGGCAAGACGCTATAACACCAAGGTTAAACCAAGACAATTTGTGGAAGGAGACCTTGTGTGGCGGAAAACAGCAGAAGCCCGACGGGACCGGTCGGCAGGAAAGCTGGCGGCTAATTGGGAAGGTCCCTTCAGGGTGGTTCAGAACTTGCAAAATGGAGCATACCGGTTGGCGCACCCGACGGGAAAGGCTGTACCCAATACGTGGAACGCATCTCATTTAAAATTCTATTTCAGTTAAGAGCTTTGTATATCTCGCAAATTATCAATAATACATGACATTACACAGAATTTTGGTGTTATATACAGAAGTTGTATCACGGGAACTACCGATGGAGCGGGTGAGGCAGTCTCTTCGTGAGCTCTCACCTTGGTCTTAGAGCATGCTCCTCGAGAGCTTCTAAGACCTAAACCGAGCGGGTGAGGCAGTCTCTTCGTGAGCTCTCACCTTGGTCTTAGAGCACGCTCCTCGAGAGCTTCTAAGACCTAAACCGAGCGGGTGAGGCAGTCTCTTCGTGAGCTCTCACCTTGGTCTTAGAGCACGCTCCTCGAGAGCTTCTAAGACCTAAACCGAGCGGGTGAGGCAGTCTCTTCGTGAGCTCTCACCTTGGTCTTAGAGCACGCTCCTCGAGAGCTTCTAAGACCTAAACCGAGCGGGTGAGGCAGTCTCTTCGTGAGCTCTCACCTTGGTCTTAGAGCACGCTCCTCGAGAGCTTCTAAGACCTAAACCGAGCGGGTGAGGCAGTCTCTTCGTGAGCTCTCACCTTGGTCTTAGAGCACGCTCCTCGAGAGCTTCTAAGACCTAAACCGAGCGGGTGAGGCAGTCTCTTCGTGAGCTCTCACCTTGGTCTTAGAGCACGCTCCTCGAGAGCTTCTAAGACCTAAACCGAGCGGGTGAGGCAGTCTCTTCGTGAGCTCTCACCTTGGTCTTAGAGCACGCTCCTCGAGAGCTTCTAAGACCTAAACCGAGCGGGTGAGGCAGTCTCTTCGTGAGCTCTCACCTTGGTCTTAGAGCACGCTCCTCGAGAGCTTCTAAGACCTAAACCGAGCGGGTGAGGCAGTCTCTTCGTGAGCTCTCACCTTGGTCTTAGAGCACGCTCCTCGAGAGCTTCTAAGACCTAAACCGAGCGGGTGAGGCAGTCTCTTCGTGAGCTCTCACCTTGGTCTTAGAGCACGCTCCTCGAGAGCTTCTAAGACCTAAACCGAGCGGGTGAGGCAGTCTCTTCGTGAGCTCTCACCTTGGTCTTAGAGCACGCTCCTCGAGAGCTTCTAAGACCTAAACCGAGCGGGTGAGGCAGTCTCTTCGTGAGCTCTCACCTTGGTCTTAGAGCACGCTCCTCGAGAGCTTCTAAGACCTAAACCGAGCGGGTGAGGCAGTCTCTTCGTGAGCTCTCACCTTGGTCTTAGAGCACGCTCCTCGAGAGCTTCTAAGACCTAAACCGAGCGGGTGAGGCAGTCTCTTCGTGAGCTCTCACCTTGGTCTTAGAGCACGCTCCTCGAGAGCTTCTAAGACCTAAACCGAGCGGGTGAGGCAGTCTCTTCGTGAGCTCTCACCTTGGTCTTAGAGCACGCTCCTCGAGAGCTTCTAAGACCTAAACCGAGCGGGTGAGGCAGTCTCTTCGTGAGCTCTCACCTTGGTCTTAGAGCACGCTCCTCGAGAGCTTCTAAGACCTAAACCGAGCGGGTGAGGCAGTCTCTTCGTGAGCTCTCACCTTGGTCTTAGAGCACGCTCCTCGAGAGCTTCTAAGACCTAAACCGAGCGGGTGAGGCAGTCTCTTCGTGAGCTCTCACCTTGGTCTTAGAGCACGCTCCTCGAGAGCTTCTAAGACCTAAACCGAGCGGGTGAGGCAGTCTCTTCGTGAGCTCTCACCTTGGTCTTAGAGCACGCTCCTCGAGAGCTTCTAAGACCTAAACCGAGCGGGTGAGGCAGTCTCTTCGTGAGCTCTCACCTTGGTCTTAGAGCACGCTCCTCGAGAGCTTCTAAGACCTAAACCGAGCGGGTGAGGCAGTCTCTTCGTGAGCTCTCACCTTGGTCTTAGAGCACGCTCCTCGAGAGCTTCTAAGACCTAAACCGAGCGGGTGAGGCAGTCTCTTCGTGAGCTCTCACCTTGGTCTTAGAGCACGCTCCTCGAGAGCTTCTAAGACCTAAACCGAGCGGGTGAGGCAGTCTCTTCGTGAGCTCTCACCTTGGTCTTAGAGCACGCTCCTCGAGAGCTTCTAAGACCTAAACCGAGCGGGTGAGGCAGTCTCTTCGTGAGCTCTCACCTTGGTCTTAGAGCACGCTCCTCGAGAGCTTCTAAGACCTAAACCGAGCGGGTGAGGCAGTCTCTTCGTGAGCTCTCACCTTGGTCTTAGAGCACGCTCCTCGAGAGCTTCTAAGACCTAAACCGAGCGGGTGAGGCAGTCTCTTCGTGAGCTCTCACCTTGGTCTTAGAGCACGCTCCTCGAGAGCTTCTAAGACCTAAACCGAGCGGGTGAGGCAGTCTCTTCGTGAGCTCTCACCTTGGTCTTAGAGCACGCTCCTCGAGAGCTTCTAAGACCTAAACCGAGCGGGTGAGGCAGTCTCTTCGTGAGCTCTCACCTTGGTCTTAGAGCACGCTCCTCGAGAGCTTCTAAGACCTAAACCGAGCGGGTGAGGCAGTCTCTTCGTGAGCTCTCACCTTGGTCTTAGAGCACGCTCCTCGAGAGCTTCTAAGACCTAAACCGAGCGGGTGAGGCAGTCTCTTCGTGAGCTCTCACCTTGGTCTTAGAGCACGCTCCTCGAGAGCTTCTAAGACCTAAACCGAGCGGGTGAGGCAGTCTCTTCGTGAGCTCTCACCTTGGTCTTAGAGCACGCTCCTCGAGAGCTTCTAAGACCTAAACCGAGCGGGTGAGGCAATCTCTTTGTGAGCTCTCACCTTGGTCTTAGAGCACGCTCCTCGAGAGCTTCTAAGACCTAAACCGAGCGGGTGAGGCAGCCTCTTCGTGAGCTCTCACCTTGGTCTTAGAGCACGCTCCTCGAGAGCTTTTAGGACCTAAACCGAGCGGAACTCGCGGCACTCTTACAAGGCGAACAAAGCGAGAAACGAAAGATATATATGGAGACAAGAGCAAACGCAAAGGAAAGGCGAGAAATTAATTTGGAATTCTATTAATAAACGAGAAAAGTACAACGGGAGAATCAAAAGCAATAAAATCCTAAGTATACATTTAGGAGGGCCTTGCTGCTTCACCCGTCTCCCCGATGGCTTCAGCATCAGCATTGGCATTTTGAACGGTTGGCGTAGAGGGTGGGGGATCCATGATGGGTACTAATTTGCCGTCCACCACCATCATACTCACGTTCAGCCGAGAGTCGTCGATGGGCACTTGAAAGAGAAGGTGACATTGGGCGAGGGCCTTGTCGAAGCCGAACAGATGCTCATTCACCACTTCATCACCCAGCAATTTGTTTTCTGCTTCCACCTCAGCTACCCGAGCAAGGAGGGAATCCCGCTTGGCGGTCAAAGTGGAGATGGAGGCCAGAAGGGAATCCCGCTCGGTGGTCAAAGTGGAGATGGAGGCCATAGACTTTTGAAGGTCAAGCTGGACATCGTCCAATGACCTTTGCATGCGCCGTTGGGCAGCTCGGGCTTCGGTCAACAGTGTGTTGGCCTTCTTCTTATCTTCCTCGGCCATCCGCTCGGCCTCAGCCAAGCGTAAGGTAAGGTCCTAGTTGGCTTTAAAGGAAGCTTCAAACTTTTCTTTCAAGGCTTGAAGCTCGGTAGCAGTAGACGCCGTATCCTCCGCAGCATAGGATAAACACATGGCCGATCGGGCAGCCAGCTCTAGGGCCATGTTGGAAGCTTCCTCTTTGGTCAGCCCACTGACCAAGGTTTTTTCCTCGGGGAGAAGGTTAAACTGGAGGCGTTTGGCCACCTAGACATTAGAGCTCAACAGCCCGGTGAGGGGAGGCCCGTCGGGAAGATGCCTCTTTGACCTCTTGGATTCAACTGAGGTCTCCTTGGCGGCCTTGCGCTTGCCTTTCTTCTTGTGCTCGGCTTCGGGAGGAGGGGCAGGAGAAGATTGTTGAGGGTGGACCTCGACCACGGCAGGAGGGGTCAAGGTCTTTTGGATGTTGTGGGAGTTGGCCGGCGGAGTAGTAGCCGACGGGGCGGGGGAGGCACCCCCGCTTGGTTTCCTAACACCCCCTCGTTGAGCGAAAAGGCGGGCGAAGGTGTTGTTACGGGAAGGATCCATCTTCGATAAGTAATCTGCAGAAAGACAAGAAATTCAGTTAAGTCCTAACAGGCTGCTCAATAAAAGATGATCAAAAATAGTTTACCAAACACATTGAACGGAAGGTTCTTGTTGCCAAGGAACCCGATCAAAACACGGCACGAGGATTTGGGGGGTAGCTGACAGAGCTGATTGATCAAGTCCAGATCCTCGGTGCTCATCTGCGGTTTTGGCCAGGAGAGGACCTTCCGAGGATCTCGGGTCCAGTAAAGCGGAAACTTGGCATCCCGGGCGGGACCGGCGTTACAAAAACTCTCGTATCCAGCCTCCGTCGGCACGACTTTAAAAAAGTGATTTTTAAAGTCCTTGTAGGAGCTGTGACGGCGAGAGGAGTAGGGCCAGAGTAAAAAATTAGGGTGAAAGTAAGGATATTTATACTTAAGTTAAAACCGATTCAATGGTCAAGTCTGGAATGTCAAAGGACGTGAGATCTGACGGTTCAGGAGATGTGACGTTTCAGTGATGGGAAGATCTGACGGTTGGGGGGGAGAAAAACGCTTCGTTTTTCACACTTCCCGCCTGAATATTACAGTTTAAACTTTTCTGTTCTCATTGAAACGCGAGGAAGAAATTTTGTTGAACCAGGAAGGAAGGCCGAGCGGGGATTACTTCAAACCCTACGCAAAGGTACTTTGCTAGGGCTTGGGGGGCTGGTGTTACTACCGAGGGCAGGCAACCGACCGCAGAGAGTGTTCTACCGAGGGTAGCTAGCCGATCGCAGGGTTTGTTACTACCGAGGGTAGCCAGAAGAGTGTCATGTGCCGATATCGAAGGTTGATAACCGGTCGGATGTGCTATAACACAGCCGATCGGGCAGACGCAAGGCGAATAGACTGCAGACAGCTGTTAAATGCTCATGAATGCATGGTTAATGAGGTAACGGTCATCTTCGAGAGGTTAAAGTGAGCATTGAAAGCCATTAAAAGGTAAATTAATGAGTAATATTCCCTGAGATTGTATAAATAGAGGTCAAAGGGGAAGGTAAAGGTTGGATTCATTTTAGATATAGATAGGCTTGCGATAGCATATTCTGACTTGATCGTCGGAGTGTTTGCTGCAGGTCAACCCATTCATACTGATACCGAGCGCAGAGGAGGCGAGAGGAGGAAGACTGATCGGAGGAAGAGGAGTGTTTCCGGACGGAGGTAGCGGGAGTTTCCCCCGGTCCTATTCAGCAGAAACAATTATCTAAGAAAATAAAATATAAATCAAAATATCATGATTGAATAAGAATTGGATTTAAGATCAGTGTTTAAAGCTATTACAACTATTTAATAATAATAATAATTTAAATACATATTATTATTTATTTTATGTAATGTAAATAATTTTTGTAGATTTTATAAGTATTTAACTATGGATTTACTTGAAAAATTCCGAGTATTATAGAAATGTTTCGTCGTAAACTTATTTGAATTGATTATGGATTTGGAAAATTTTGAGTACCTTACAAGTGTTTAATTATGGATTTGAAAACTCAAGTATCTTATAAGTATTTAATTATGAACGTGAAAAATTCGAGTAAGCGTACGAAGATAGACTTGTAAAAAAATATCTTATCGAGTGTTTGATCATGGACTTATTTGAAAAATTTAATACATTCAGACTTGATAAATTTGAGTCTAAATATTCGTTAATGTAACTACTCGAGGTAGATTTGAGTATGTATGAGTGTTCAAAACCGTATCAACTTAGGAAAATTCGAGTATAAATTAAGCATCCAAAAAATGTGACTAAATCCGAAAACGTGACCACTTGAAAAAAATCCAAGTATAAGTTAAGCATCCAAAAGTGTGACGATATAAGTGACTAAGTATAACCCAACAATGAGCTAAAAACAACACATAAACTCATTCATTTAATAACTTGGTCCATTTATAAAAGTTATTAACTTTTCAGTTCGAGGTTTATGCACTTATTTGAGTCATATTTACAATATTATTAATGTTGCTGACAGACCTAAAACAACTCAATAAACATAAGATTCGAGTGCGAAATCTATATGATATTAACCTCCTTAAAATTAGGAAAAGATAATGTTTATGAGATATATGTTATTGGTAGGCCTAAAAAAAGACTATAAATACATCTTGTCATAGGAATTACAAGAATATCATTATTACTTATAATCATAACTACTCATTCAAAAATCTCTTATAGACTTAAACGTCAGAGTCTTTGTAGGTGGATTTCTCCTCTATTCAGAGCTCGTTTACATATGAACAATCTCATTAATCCACCTTAGAAACTATTCGACCAAATTTGATAAGACCATTTTTACTATCTCCTTATTTTAAATCTGGTATATGATTTATATTTGAGTGGCTCAAATATTCTTAGGTTTTTGGCACAGAGGTTTAATATGCATGAGGTGAATAATTTGTATCAAAGTTTACTAAAACTACAAGAGTGTTAATAATGTATTAAGTTAGTTTTTTATGTTTATGGACAATGTATTAAACATTTTTTTATTAATTTAAAGTTTTGATGATGCAATATGAACTTGCAAGTTAATATTGTGCTTTTGAAGTAAAATTAGCCTATACACTATAGTTTGTAAAGGATATTTTGTAACATAAAATAGCTAAATACTAAACAGTTTTATCTTAATTTGAAAAATCTTATTTTTCTGTACTTAAAATAAAGTCGTCATAATTCTAACCGAAGATTCTAAACAAGAGAAGTATATTCAGGTGTTAGAGCCAAGTATGACCGTTAGTTAGCGTTTGGAAGAAAAAAGAAGCAACCCAACCAACCATTGAGAAGACACCATGCCATTCACCTTTCTTCTCAAATGACTCTTTGATCCCTTGACTTCACAAATTCCAATTTTACATGCTTTCAGTGGATGAAGTTGCAGCCATGCATTCTTCAACCGCATCAATCTCTTCCAATTACCCTCTCATTTCTGCTTTCGTTGCTTTTGCCCTTGCCCAATCCATCAAGTTCTTCACCACCTGGTTCGTATTCCCTTTTCTTTTCTTCTTTTTGTGTTTCCTTAACACGCAAATGCAATTTCACGTGGCTCTTATGGTTCTAACACATCCTTTGATATTCATGGACATGTAATTTTTTTTAAGAACCTAAATCAACCACACATATGCATATATGAAAATTCATAACTGAAGTGTAAGGGTATGTTGTGTGGTTCAAAAAGAAAGGGTTAATTTTCATTTTGAAATATAGAGAATAACGGAATACTTTTCAAGATAAAGTAACTGATGATAAGATGGTTTAAAAGTCTTAATGTTTCTTAGGTATGCAGGTTTAAGGAAAGAAGATGGGATCTTAAGCAATTAGTTGGGTCTGGTGGAATGCCATCATCTCATTCAGCTACTGTCACTGCTCTTGCATTTGCCATTGGGTTGCAAGAAGGCTTTGAAGGATCACTTTTTGCTATTTCCTTCGTTTTCGCTTGTACTGTATGACTTCATTTAATTCTTCACATAAATCAACACTGAATATCTCTTTGCTTAATATTTTGTTTAGTAATTACTATGACCTGAGATTCTTGCTCCATATCTGCACCTGTAGGAACAGAAATTAAGTTTTTGTTAAGAAAGCATTTGATGTCCCAAAAAGAATTACGAAAGTTATACTGTAATGTTTCAAACAATTAAGGGTTTAATGCTATTTATAAGAGGTGTTCGTATATATTTTTCAAATAACGAAGGGATTGATGTATGATATGAATAGATAAAAGAAAGACATGGGAAGAAATCTGACCAAACATGTCAATATAATTTGCTGAAACAATAAACATGCATCTGTGTTAAACAATGGTTTTGTAAAATAAATTTCTGAAAAGAGATTGGTGGCAGGTGATGTATGATGCTACTGGTGTAAGATTGCAAGCAGGACGCCAAGCAGAGGTTTGATGCCTTTTGCAGCTATGCCATTTTTTTCTTCTATGCAATATTCTGTTATTTATGGAAGTCTTTTTCTGTTTGTTGTCTTTGCTTGCTGTGCATAGAAGCTTTGCTCCTTTAGTTTAGTTGGTTTCAGTGAATTTTATTGAATTAGAATCAATGGTTTTTTTCAGGTTTTAAACCAAATTGTGTATGAACTTCCTGCTGAGCATCCTCTAGCTGAAAGGAGACCACTTCATGAACTTCTTGGGCACACACCCCCTCAGGTTACCATTTTTCATTGCATTGTTTCTATAGTTATATAAATTCAGTGCACCATAAAAGGCCACTGCTTCAAGATTCTTGTTTGAAAGTGTTTATTGCCATAGACTGAGATATCTACAACTTTTGAGGTATGTTTTGTTGATACAAGAGACTTGGAGTGCTGTCACCTCTTTTATATGAACAATTCATATTTTTAAGGTTTATGTGGAAATATTTTTTGATTGAATTTTAGTATTTTAATCAAGAAAGGAAAAATAAAAAAATGAAAATATTTTTTTATAAATTTTTTTTTATACAAAATTTTCAAAATTTGTTTTTATCCTTGGATAAACTAACTATAGTTTAAGGAAAATTCTAGTTTCATTTTTTATATTTATTTTCTTTAAAAACTTTCTTGCGTGCCGCACTATATGGTTTTTTTCTTTTCAAATTTGGATTGAGTTTATCTATGGCCATTTTAAATTTAAAAATATTTTTTTTAATTTCTCTGAGAAAGAAATGTTTACTTAAACGTTATCAATGCAAGTACATTGAAAGGAAAACAATAAACTAGTTAATTATAAAAATAACATCAGAATAGGTTGTCATGTGAACTAATAATAATAGTAATCAAATAACCAAAATCTAAAATGATATTTAACAGAGAGAGAGAGAGAGAGAGAGTAAATGAAACATTCTTCAAATCATAAGCTTAAAAGTACTGATTTTAAGTTTTAAAAGAATATCTTTAATTTAAGAAAATTAAAAATATTTATGATTTCTAGCTGAAAGAAACTAACTGGAGAGAAAGTCTGTGTTTCTTTCATACATACAAGCTGCAAAAGATACTTATTGAGAATGGTAAATTCTTTTATCATATGTTTTGTTTAGTCAATTAAACTGAAACCTTTGTTATTGTTTCCTTCACTTTCACAAATATTAATTACAATTGCAAACTCATATGAAAAGCCTAAACTACCCTTTACTATAGCATCACACCATTCTTACTGTGACTCTCGTTATTGTCATCACATCCATGGAAGAAGAGAGAAAAGATGAAAATTTTAGAAACTGTAGAAGTGCAGGAAAGTAAAAGCAAAGTTTTTGGATGCTAAGAGCCCAATATTATTTTGTATTTGTTTATGCATGTACTGTTTCAAATTTTAGAAAAACAGAGAATAAAAAAGCAATTTGAGATAAGATGAAGAAATGATTGTAAATTAGTGTTTTGTTTTGTGTGATGGTTGTGCAGGTAATTGTGGGTGGAATACTTGGACTCTTAACGGCAGTTGGCCTTCTAAGACCCCTCGCAACAAATTGAGGCCTTTCTTTCACTTCAGTTTCTGCTCTCAAATTCTTCTCTCAAAAAATAACTTTGCATTTCAAGAACTTAACATTTTTCTGTTCTCATGTCAAGAACAGAGATAAAAAAATTGAATGCAATAGACTGTTAAAATCTACTACTGTTTGTGGCTGTTAGGTATCTAAAAGGGAATCATATATTTCATAGGAATTTAAGTCTAGGTTGATCTTCTTCCTCTTCGTCTCCTTCATCAATATCATGAAAGTTGTTATGGTATTTTTTGTTTCATGAAATTAGTTAAAATGGATTTATCACAAAATCCTTCTAACCCATATTACTTGTATCCTATAAATAATCCTGAGATGATTCTTGTTACACCACAATCAGTTGGAGAAAGCATTTCTGAAATGGTTTCTCTAGAAAATAATGTACATGAAAATAAGTTTTATATTACTTAGTTCATTATTTTTCAAAAATATCTATATGTTTTTTAAATGTTTAAAGTGGAAAGTAAAAATTGTAGGTATTGTGCACGTAAAATTGAGGTATGAGTTTACATTTTCTAAAAAGAAAATTAGGCAGGTTTTAGTATCACTCCCTCGGCCTTATTTTACTTTAAAATGAAAATAGAGATTTCCTCTTCGCAATTAATTCCATTGTCACAGCTTTTGTCTCGAATAAACTTAACCAAGTGGATGTTTGCCCATAGAATGATCTAATTGGGTTTTAAAACAGGTTGAACCATGATGTCTGAAAGATATTTAGTTACTAAAAATTAAGGATTTAATTTAGTGGTCTCACAAAATCGGTTTTCTTTTCGCAATTTTTAATTTATTGGTTGATAACTTCCCAATTTTTTATATTTTTTTGTAATAAAACTCTTTTTTTAGGCTGCTTTAGCTTCTAATTCTCTATAAATAAGATAAAGCAGTGTAAATAGGGTAAAAATAGGTATTTAATAGAAATGAAGTTAATTTTTTTTTAGTTAAATAAAATTGGTTTTTAAAGAAATAAATTAACCCTTTAGAAAAATATTCAGAAAATAAAAATAAAATTCCCTTTATGCTGTTGTAGGCTTTCATTTTGTCTTTTTACTGTTTAACTCTTGGTAATTTCTTTCTAATTGCAGAATTAACCCTGGTCAAAGGGGCTCTTTTGTTGGTTAATCAAAGAGGATTTGCTGCCCTATTTTGAAAAGCAGCGGTTTGGCATCTGTAGAGTAAGTGAAGTGCACCGTTTTGTGCACGGATGCTAATGGAAGCTGAGACTTTGGGGGGGTAAGGCTCTAGGATTCGAGAGAGGAGAGAGGAGTTCCTTGGTGTCCGAGGATGATTCCGAACCAGAGGTTAAAAGCCGGACCAGAGATTGAGTGAATCAGATCACATGACCGGAGATGACTGACTGAAAGAAGATGTTAGCATTATTTTTAAATATAAAATAAATATTATAGCTTTTTCAGTTTCTATTTTTAAGAAAATAAAGTGGTCCATTAAGTTATTATGAGGTTTATGGAGCAGTTACTAATTTTTAAATGTAAAACCCATTTATTTTGAACCTATGGCCACACTTTATATAAGGGAATGAGTTACTCTCAGTTTTGATCACTAAGCCTATTCCTCTATTCAGAAAACACACTATCGAATTTGAATGAGTTAAAGTTTAGAAAAACAAAATTGTCTGTGTTTGAATTACAAAAGTTGCAATGGCAGGAGGTATGCACATTATTTTTCATTTTGCTACCGTTGATTTTGATCTGAATGTGTTATGAATGAAGATTCTTCTGTTTTATGGCATCATAGATTGGGACATATCTTCATTGAAAGAATTAAGCGATTAGTAAATGAAGGAGTACTTATTACTTTGGATTTTACTGATTTTGAGACTTGCGTGGATTGCATTAAGGGTAAGCAAACTAACAAGTCCAAAAGAGGTGCTAAGAGGAGTTCAAGTTTACTAGAAATTATTCATTCAGATATTTGTTGTCCGGATATGGACGCAAGTAGTCCGAAACACTTCATCACCTTTATAGATGACTACTCACGTTATATGTATCTCTACTTACTTCGTTCTAAGGATGAAGCTTTGGATGCCTTTAAATTTTTAAGGCTGAAGTTGAGCTACAATGCGGAAAGCAAATCAAGATTGTGAGATCAGATAGAGGTGGAGAGTATTATGGTAGATACACTGAGAATGGACAAGCACCTGGTCTGTTTACGAAGTTTCTTCAAGACCATGGAATTGTTGCCCAATACACTATGTCTGGTTCTCCAGATCAGAATGGTGTGGCAGAAAGAAGGAACAGAACTTTAATGGACATGGTGAGAAGTATGAGGAGTAATTCAAAACTTCCTCAATTCTTGTGGACTGAAGCACTGAAGATGGTTGTGTATATATTAAACCGAGTCCTAACCAAGGCCGTCTTAAAGACACCGTTTGAGTTATTCAAAGGTTGGAAACCAAGTTTGCGACATATACGTGTTTGGGGATGTCCGTCTGAAGTGAGAATTTATAATCCACAAGAGAAGAAACTAGACCCAAGGACTATTAGTGGGTATTTCATTGGATATACTGAAAAGTCTAAGGGATATAGATTCTATTGTCCATCGCATAACACTAGGATTGTGGAGTCAAGAAATGTAAAATTTCTTGAGAATGACTTCGTTAGTGGGAGTGATCAGTTTCCAAACATTGGGAATGAAAGGGATCAGTATGAAGCTCAACCCTCTAGCTCAAGTGATAGATTGGTTGTCATTCACACCCCTCAAACACAAATGGGTGTTAGACAAACAATAATTAAAGCTTCACAACCTGCTCAAAATGACCTTACAGATCAAGTTGCTAATGAGGAACAACAAGATGATGTTGAAAAACCTACTGAATAGTTGCTTGAGCAACAATTTCCTCAAGAAAATGATGAGGCAACATTAAGAAGATCTACTATTGTTAAAAGGCCAGCAATTCCTAGTGATTATGTAGTGTATTTGCAAGAAGTTGACTACAATATTGGAGCTGCAAATGATCCTGAAACGTTTTCACAAGCCATGAGTTCTAAAGAATCAGACCTATGGTATAATGCCATGAAAGACGAGATGGATTCTATGGCATCCAACAAAGTCTGGGATCTCGTTCAGTCGCCTAATGGTGTAAAATCCATTGGATGTAGATGGGTCTTTAAAACCAAGAAAGACTCAAAAGGCAACATTGAGAGACATAAGGCAAGACTTGTTGCCAAAGGTTTCACTCAAAGAGATGGAATTGACTACATAGAGACCTTTTCTCCTTTATCTAAGAAATATTCCTTTCTAGTAATTATGGCATTATTAGCTCATTTTGATTTTGAGTTACATCAAATGGATGTGAAATCATCATTCTTTAATGGTTATCTTGATGAAGAGGTTTACATGAAACAACCTGAAGGATTCTCTTCTAAAGACAATGTGCACTTAGTTTGCAAGCTTAATAAATCCATCTATGGATTAAAACAAGCCTCCCGCTAATGGTATCTAAAATTTCATGATGTTATCACTTCATTCGGTTTTGAAGAAAACGTCATGGATCAATGTATAAACCAAAAGGTCAGTGGGAGTAAGATTTGTTTCCTTGTATTATATGTGGATGATATTTTGCTTGCAACCAACGATAAGGGTTTGCTATATGAAGTGAAACAATTTCTCTCAAATAACTTTGACATGAAGGATATGGGAGAGGCATCTTATGTCATTGGCATTAAGATCCATAGGGAAAGATCTCGAGGCATTTTGGGTTTGTCTCAAGAGACCTATATCAACAAAGTTTTTAAAGAGGTTTAACATGAAGAATTTTTCACCAAGTGTAGCTCCAATCGTGAAGGGTGATAAACTCAATTTGAATCAATGTCCGAAAAATGATTTTGAGCGGGAACACATGAAGAATATTCCATATGCTTCAGCTATTGTAAGCCTTATGTATGCTCAGGTTTGCACTAGACCTGACATTGCATATGTTGTTGGAGTTTTGAGAAGATATCAGAGTAATCCAGGTGTTGACCACTAGAAAGCTGCAAAGAAGGTAATGAGATATCTTCAAGGGACAAAAGATTACATGCTTATATATATATGAACTGAATGTTTGGAAGTGATTGGCTACTCCGATTCAGACTATGTTTGTTGCTTTGATTCACGAAAATCAACATTTGGTTATATTTTTATGTTAGCTGGTGGAGCTGTATCTTGGAGAAGTGCCAAACAGACATTAACTGCTCCTTCTACTATGGAAGCTGAGTTCATTTCTTGTTTTGAGGCTACCTCGCATGGTGTATGGTTAAAGAGTTTCATTTATGAGCTTAGAGTTGTGGACTCTATTTCTAGGCCATTAAAGTTGTACTGTGACAACTCTGCTGTGGTGTTTATGGCTAAGAACAATAAAAGTGGATGTCGAAGTAAGTACATTGACATCAAATACTTAGCCATCAGAGAACGTGTTAAGGAAAATAAAGTAGTCATTGAACACATAAGCACTGAGTTGATGATTGCTGATCCTTTAACTAAAGGTATGCCACCAAAGAATTTTAATGATCATGTAGTGCAAATGGGACTTGGTTCCATGATGTAATTTCTTTATTAGTACATTTATTATTTTCAATTAAACTCTTATTTAGTTTGATGTTTTTCTCATATGTTTTTGTGCACATTTATTTTGAGAAGATATCATTTAGTTTTGATCTAGCATAAACATATGGTTTATGCATTAAGTTGAGAGCTAATGTTGAGAGAAATATATATTGTGGTACATGGAAGATAACACTTACTATCAGAGGACCTATCGCCATGACTTGTATATATTCTGTCTTAGTAATTGAATAAATGGACCAAGTGGGAGAATGTTAGCATTATTTTTAAATATAAAATAAATATTATAGCATTTTCAGTTCCTATTTTTAAGGAACATAAAGTGGTCCATTAAGCCATTATTTTTATCTTTTTAACTGCATAGAGGTTATGGAGTAGTTACTAATTTTTAAACGTAAAGCCTATTTATTTTGAATCTGTGATGACCAGCCTTTATATAAAGGAATGAGTTACTCTTGTTGATTGGTACCAGACAGAGTGTAACGCAGCGGAATAAAGCTTA